TACTATTAGTTACGGGGATCTTTTCCCGTCATTACCATTAGTTACGGGGATATTTTTCTGTCGTTGAAAACTAATTAATGACGGTTGGATACCGTCGTAAAAGTCCTAATAATGGGTAATTAGTAACCCATTAACGACGGTACTTTCCCTTCGTTGATGAACAAAATACGATTTATAAAACCGTCATTGTAAACTATAAATTTCTAATATACATTAATAATAATTTTTTTATTCATAGGCAACTATCATATTATTCTCAACCTGACACTAAGATTCACAACACAAATATATTAAAAATACCCAATAATGAATAAAAGAGAAAATAAAAATTTTATTCATTAATAACATCAATAAATAAAATTCCACCATCCTCAAATATTCAATACTAATAACAAGAGTTAATATCGTAATTGTTCCAAAGAAAAATACATGAAACTATCTATAACAAATTAAAATAAAAGTTTGGGGAAGACACATTCTTTCATCTCTAATCATTGTCAAAAGAAGACTCGAGCTGCCCCACCTCTCCTAATCTTGCATGGATAGCCTGAAAAATAAAAAAAAATACATAATTAAAAAATATCAATTAAGAAAATATTATCTTATTAAGTAAAATTCATATTTTTAGTGCAAGTAGTCAATCATAAAAGTATAAGAGATTTTACAAAAAATAATTACCTAGTCCTGTACATGTTCTCGAGTTTGAGGAGTCAATGAAGGTGATTTCCTAAAAAAAAGTTCTTGCATAGCTTTCACTTGTGACTCCAACTCAGACATCCTTTGTTGTTGTTGTTCCTGCTCATCTAAGCATTGTTGAAGCATCTGGTTCTTTTTTTTTCTTTTATAACCCATGCTTCCAGATCAGATCGACTAGGGAGCGGTCCTCTTAAATCTTTCAAAGTAGTCCTGCCACCAAATACAATGATGTGACCATGAGATTGCTTCCCTTAGATTTTCTCAACTATCTCAATGTCTGAAAGTGAAGGGTTTACTTGTTTGACTTGAACAAATTCATCCTATAAAAATTAAATTCATATGTTAGTACTATATAATGCGTCATTATCAAACTTAAACACATATTCTACTTACATATTTATCTTGATCCCCAATATCTAGTGTTGCATTAGCTTTCTTTCGAGTTTCATGAAACATTTTATAAAAATCACAGCAGTATGCACATCTGCCACCCTTATTCAAATATTAAATAAAAATGAGTACAACATCAAACTAAAAAACAAAGTAGTTATAAATAAATAAGAAATTAGTTTTGAATGTATACCAATTCCCACGCAATTTGTCTAAAGGATTTGCTGCCCGTGTGATCTTTTAAATGTCCAATGTTTTAGTCTCAGCAAGTCCACACGGGTTATGCTTAATGTAAGCCATGCTTCACACACTTACCAGAAAATTGCGCTACGTAGCTGACAGGATAATGTTAAACAACATTAAGAGCTACAGAAGTTGCTAGGATGTGTTCAAAGTGCCTAATAAGTTACACTGTATGGTTAATTCATAAAAATTTGTAAGGCACACGCCGCACATCAATTTCCATAAGATACTAAAGACATTGAATAAAGAAAACTAATGAGAAAAATACACATAAACAACAACAATTGGTAGGATGTGTTCAAAGGGCCTAAAGTTACACTGTATGGTTTAATTCATTAAAATTTTGGAAGACACTTCAACATCCATGAGTCCATAAAGAAATTTAAAGAGAAAAAAATATGTACTAAAGTAATTAAAGTTCTACATGTCAAAGGATCTACACCTCAATATAAACATTTAACAAACTGAAATAATTCCTTCATAGACTAAAAAAACTAAAATACTGACGGCTTACAATTAGAGCAGCTGAGCGGCAAAATGTAGTACCAGTGGCGTTTGTAGCAGCATACTCATGGTACTCAGCTTCAAGAAAATGGCGCTGCTCTGCTGCCATAGCAAGTATCCGAGGATCACACAAGTCCAATGGAGTACCAATGATGGTCCAACCTCCACTGCGAATATACAAAAAGAATAATTGAATCTTATAATCATATTATTAGACAGGAGAAAACATTGCCCAAATCACATATTAACTGAAAAGATAAGCCAAGCAAGTATACAGACATACCTAATATCAATTGTAGTCTCATCTGGGTTAGGTCGAGGAGGTGCAGTATAATCTGGCTTGTATGGCTGAAAATCATGAAATTAATAACTGGTTATAATCAATTCCAATTTTAGCAATATCCTTGCACAGTGTATCGACTTAAAAATATTAACAACAAAAACATTAATAAGAAACCAGAATTAGAACTCACCTCATGGCAAATCTCACACATTATGTCTCCTTTTTCATTGCACCAACGCTGCACACATGCCCTATGAGCATACTGTAGATACCAAATTTGTTAACATCAATATCCACAACAAAATAATGATGGACCAATAAGATACATCTTTAGGCAGAAACTAAATGCATGACATATATAATATAAATGGAAACCAGGATCTTACAGTACATCCAACCATAGAAAATCCAGATTTCTACTTTACAAAACAGGTTTCATCAGATAAAATGTTCGCTACACGAACTGTTGGGGCTCTCCTCTTCTTTGCTGAATATCTCAGTTCTGCAAGCTTTCAATTGATCATAAGAAAGGTTGATAAATTAAGAGAATGTACTATAATGCAAGGAAAGAAAACATACTTTTACTTCATTAAATAGCCAAAATCACTCACTATATGCAATTGACTTGACATAGAGGGGAAAAATTAACCTCCTTTTGGTCTGTTTTATCAACCATAATGCAGTCAAATTGATTCACAATATGTATTCTTTTAAATAGAAATCTTTCAAGATAATCTAGGTATAGATGTGTTTTCTTTCCATAAGAATGTGAAGTATATCGGATCCAAAACTAAAACGCATCACACGATTAATTAGTGATCGACAAGGTTAAAATGTGGGTGAATGTTGTTATTTTCAATCCTTTACCCAAGTCAATGTGATTTCACCCCATTATTGTCAAATTATTGATTTAAAGTTTTAGTACCCTCTTACTTACAAATAATTACAAAACAAGTACAGCTGTATCTAGTAGAAAAAACTGCGAACCTGGCAGAAATCGATCATTTGGTTGATTCGTAACAACTTGTTGATCTTCAAGAAAAGAGGAGTCATTTCCACCAGAAGGAGAGGTTTCCTCTTCTTTCTCCTCACGAGTTTCTTCGAAACCAAAGTTCAATGGCTCATCTTTATTTGTTCTGGACATCAAGAGGTAAACCTTCTGCAGGTCATTCGCTAAAATTGGTATAGACTTCAGTTGCGGGTTTCTGAATGAAGAATGAAGCAAATACAGAACCATTATCATGTTAGAACGAGAAGTAGCAGCAATTAATAGAATTATTTCAAAAGAAACAAGTGATCATCTCATTTGAATCTCATTAAATCTTAGATACAGAGATAAAGGTGACACTGTCTCGATAATTCTTCAAAATTCTGGACTTACATCTGATACATGCTTATTAATGAAGGTATGAATTTGAAAACTCTGGAGTGTCAAATTGTAACCATGCTTATTAATGAAGGTATGAATTTAAAAACTCTGGAGTGTCAAATTGTAACACAGAACTAACAAAAGTTCGAAACTTTGGTGTATTAAAGTTAGCCAAATTCAACATATATACTGAACATGCCAATAAACTCTTAATTATCGTGTTAAATTGTAGGCAAATGGAATGCTTGTACTTTATGATGATGTTACTCATTAAAGTAATAGACTAAGATTGTGAATTTTTGTCAAGTTATAAATAGATTAAAAAAAGAGCATAACTCAGATACTTGCATAGATGGAAAATGATGATTCACGAACTTAACATTTTAACTTAAAGAATATCTAGTATGAATGGTACCTAGCAATAAAGATACACCTAAAGGATGTCAACCCTTAAATTTGTGGATAAATTCCGAAATCCAATAATGTAAGGTCTAGCATTCATTTGAAGGACATTTAATGTTACGGACCTAAGCGCACATGAAATTTTTACGTGAGAGAGAAAAAATGGAAAAGTGCACCTAAATAATGTCAACTGCCGGATCATTAGATTTCAAGATTTTTGTGTCCAGATTCAACGGTTGACATCCTTTTCGTGCACATTTAATGTCGGGTCGTCCCCACCGGATGGTTTCTTAAGAAAGAGAAGCCCAAGCTTTCACAACTTTACCATAAATTTGATAGCTCTTTCTTCAGTTCTTTTGACATCCACCATTAACATAATTCCCAAGCTTTTTTTCTTAAAGTTTTCAATAGCATCCTTCCTGGAAAATATTATTGATTGACTCTGTTCTTGCAATGTAAGTTTATGAGCATGAATAAAGTGCTATTTCGACATAACAAGGAGAAAAAACATTGAAGAATAGACAACGATTTCAGCTGGCTAATTTCTTAAGAATAGTCCTATATGTGCAATCAAAAATACCAAAACTATCCCTATGTGCTTAAAATTTAACATGAAAAGAAAGCAACTTTGAAGATAAACGCCAAGCTTACAATTGAGGTTGAGATAAAAATCATAGAAACATCAGTTTTACCCTCTGCAGAGAAACACGACAAATAAACTAAAGAAATCATCCAAAGATGATCAAACGCATAAAATGCCCATATGTTGAAACACTAGTGAACATATAAGGAAATTTTAACAATCAAAACCATTAGCATAGATTTCCATAAACTCCTTCATGCTCAAGTTTTTTGCACATAAAAGGAAAGACAATAGATTATGGTTTTAACAACTTGAAAACATCCCAATACGTTATTACCTACAAAAGACCAGAACAAACGTCACCAGAAGTCTTAAAGTAGTTGATCTCATACTTCCAAAGATGGGGTTGATTAATTGATGCAGAAACTCACAGGCATTTCTTATTCAATCTTCCGAATGGCTGAACCAATGAAATCATAATTATCAATCGTTAATGTGATAGTCCTCCGATTCCAAATCTCGATCAATATCTACATGTCAACTTGCAAGTGAAGAATTGTCCGATCGAATATTCTGCATTCGGAAAGCATGAGGCTGTCCTCCAGCTCTGTGACATCACAAAAAAGCCTTTGTTTGGTTGCATCAATATCCTTCATACCCTCAACTATCAGCTTGATATCTCGGATAGTATACCAAGATCTTGCTTCAAGTTTTATAAGATACCCATTCATTGTGCAGATCAAGATATCAAACTTATCCACTGGACATAGAATCATCTGGAGGGTTGAACCATTTTGTATATTGCAAGCAAGTAATGAATGGTTATCTTCAAGAGATTTTCCCATGTAGATGAGTCCTTGACGATTCTGACAAATTCCCTCCATAGCTTCAATCCTAGCCTTCACATTTTGGATGGTATCTTTGTCGTTCACCACGAGCTTCAAAGTTTTCCCAGTTGAAAGGATCTTTACAAATATTTGAATAGTGCCTCCAAACAAAAGGTTGATCATGGAATTTTGGGAGATGTTGTAGTCAGCTAGTGTCTTCGATGCGTCACTTAGGTGATTGCCTTCAAAAAATAGCTCTTGATTGTTCGCGGGCATTCCCTCTCTTGCATAAACCTTGGTTTTGATGGCTTGAATTGTGTCTGACCTGTTTACCTCCATCGTCACAATTTTTTTCAATTTTTAAGTTGATCTGAAACTGTAGCATCAAGAAAGAGAATAAAATGATAAGTGAACAATTTAATGCAACGAGAAAAAAAATTAATGCCTAGTTATAAAGGCAAAAATAAATAAACGCACATAAGAAGGACATCTAAGCTAAGCTAAAGTGGCAGAGCTCTTAACGTTATGGGGATTCTCATATCTGATATAATAATAGGAAATGCTAAAATTCCCAAAAAGTTTCCATGCAAAACAATTGATGGATGATTAAAATAAAATGAGAAAAAAAAGCTGTATTTATTTATCAGTAGGTTCTCAACCAGTCCAAAACTTCCAGATATCCAGATATTAGTTGTCACATGTATTTTCTTCGTATATTTGTTCCAAAATATGTAGAACATGATCAGCCATGTTTTAGAACTAAAGTTGAAAAGCCACCCCTTAGAAATATCATTGCAATGACAGGAGGCGTCTGGCAACTGAAAGTGAAGGTTAAAGTGTGAAACAATGGAATCACTTTCGACAAACATTAATATATGAGCTAAACACAAACTCCTATCATGAATCTAATGATGTTGAAGAAAGTCAGAGCTGTTTTTGTTGTGTTATGCCCAAAGGGAAATGTATCCATAAGCACGAGCACACACAAAGAAGAAGAACAAATGAACATTGTTGGGAAGGCATGAATATAAGATATTTTCTAGTAGTTGTGAATTAGAAAATAATCCAAAGTAAATTGAGGCTAGCAAAGATATCCTGAGATGCCAGAGATTAACCTCACTAATCCTCCTCGGTCCTTCAGAATACAAAGTCCAAAGTGAATTTTGTTATTTCCTTCATGAACCCAAAAAAAATTCTGACAGATTTTATGATATAATGAAATAAAGACCAAGAAAGATGGTAGAAAGACATGAAGTAGACTGCTAATGAGGAAAGAAAAGTGAAGGTGTATATGTGAACAGAACCATTTTTGACAAACATTAAAAGGACATCAGAAAGACGTTAAAGAGACAAGATATTTGGCAACTCTAAAGTCAAGTGTGAAAAAGATGCCAAGTAGGAGCACAGTTTTAAATATCGAATATCGGGGAATACTGGACAGTGAAAATCCTTATCGGATGGTGGAAATTGGGAAAATATCAAGGATATGTAATAAATATTGTGGTTACATATCAGATGATTTGCATATATAATATAACGCCCTAAAAGTGTAATTTAAACATACCTAATAAAATCTAAGCACACAAATATGCAGATTATATATGTTTTGGACTAACCAATTGTAGAAACTTAGGGAAAAGCGCCTACTAGAGGTTGCTAAAAACTTCGTAGCGTTAGAATGTTTCCTAAAAAATTAAAAATAATTTCGCAGAACTATATTGTTTTGCAACAAACCATATAAAAGGACATGTCGGCTGATATATCCGCCATGTCGGGGATATCTATTGCCCAAAATTTGCCCAAAATGCCATAAAAGATATGGAGACTATATCATTCTGTGCCAAGACTTATAAAAGGATATATCGAATATATTGGGGATATGTAAAGCAATGAGTAGGTACATGTACGATAAAAATAAAAAGCAATGAAAATCCCATTTTCAATACTAAAGAGAAAGGGTGAGATGAAAATGTGAAAGTAATAAATGTGTGGAATCCATATGGAAGATATCCTTTCTCTGTCTTGAAATTATATCATTCCACATTTTCATCTCCTTTATTTGTGTCTTGAAATTGTATCATTTCACATTTTTATCATCACCTTCAAGTTGCCAAACAAACCTCTAAACATTAACTTTTTTCACAACCTAATAGTTCTCAATCCATATCAGGTCCAATCGTACAATAAGAAGGTCTGAGACTTTGAAATCTTAGTAGTATTTATGGCTTTTACTCATCTTTATTGGTGTATGGAGTGTGGGTGGTTAAGAATTTTGGAACCAAGTTATTGATTTGAGAAATATGAGAAGTGTCTAAACATTGGGTTTTACTAATTTTGTATTTTTGCCTAATGTACCACTAGAAAGCAACTTCTTTGTATTTCGAACCTTAGATAGCCATTGTAAAATATACATTATTGGCCAATTCCTTTAGTTATATTAGGCGATATCAATGATATCGATAAGATACTTTCACGCCACGGGTCTGCGTGGGTTCATTGGTCCTATTCAACCCCTACAATCCACTGCGTGAAACATGTTGTTTAGCTCAATCCAACGCAAGAACTGATATCTATTTTTGCTACATGACTCTGTTGACTAATTATATAAACCCATCCATATTCGAACACACATTGATGCGGGACTACACTATTTTGGGGTATCACGATCATCTCACCTTAATTAGATGACACCCTCATCATGCCATGACAATAATTCATTTATGATCACCATCGACCAAAGTGGATTCTAGAGGTAGCTCCAATGGGTTCTAGAGGTGATTCCCACTGCCCTTACACATTGTAACACTTAGTCTCACATATAACCTAGTTTCACACTTCTGGTTGGTTGACTACTATTGTATCATTTATTAGGCTTCAGGCACGTGCGCCTATTGGCGTGATATAAGCCCTGAGACCCATTGAGTGAAACAAGTTTTTTCTATTCATCGCTAAAAGTGCTACCTATTGCTAATACTTGACTTCCTTGACTAACTACATTCACATAGACAACTGATGTAGAACTATACCATTTTGGGGTATCACAGTTTTAAACGGATCATTTAGCTTGTCTAAAATCCAATATAATATGTTTGTCACTTGAAATATTGTTATCTACATTTGAGAAGTATTGTTTTCATCCATATAGAATTTTAGGGTTCTACTAAGACACTACTTTTCTCTCAATTCCATTCTCTATACAATTTACAACTAGTTCAAAGAATCTTTCTTCTCCCTCTCTTTTGCCTATCTCTGCATCACTGTATAAGGGAAAGATGCTGTTTCATTTTAATAAATATGCATCCTCTTCCTTCAATCATTTATGTGTCTTGATAAATTTCTTCATGTTCAAAACCTTCCAATAAATATGCATCCTCTTCCTTCAATCATTTATGTGTCTTGATAAATTTCTTCATGTTCAAAACCTTCCAATATAGGACGAAGACCAAGTAGAATCACTTGATAAATTTCTTCATGTTCAAAACCTTCCAATATAGGACGAAGACCAAGTAGAATCACCTTTATACTTTTCAATAACTAATTACGTGTTTGTACGTCTATTAAATGATTTGTTGATATCTTTTTTGCTTCTACTTTTTTAAATATTTTTCTCTTTTTTGAAGTTTAAAGTGTAGAAGATAAAGAAGATAATTAACTCAAAAGGAAAGGAATAGTTTTATTTACCTTTTATCTTTCAAAAAATTTAAGGACCAATATTTTCTATTTCCCCCCTCATTTGCTTCTCTATACAAGGAGAGACATTCCATGTGAGCTCAAGCGACATTTAGCCAATTGAGATATTTGACATAGTGAACAAATTGAAAATTCACAATCATCATTCAACTTTGAGGAATTACAACCACCAATATCAATGTTTCATGCACATTAACATAAGGGTTCTATGCATGCACGTTCAAAAAAAGTAATAATGTAATGAAGCAGTTTCACCAGTACTTATTTCACGCTAAAAGGAGACGAAGCCACACTAGCTTCATCAAGACCCAAATGCTTTTGAAGAAAGTTTTGCCAAATCATTCCAAAAGAGGAGACATCCAAACACAATGTAGTGCAATCATGAATATATGATTTCCTGTAGTAGTTGTGAGGCACAAAAGATATCTTGAGATGGCTAAGGTTAAATAGTAATTTGGAATAAAAAGTTCACGATGAATTTACTTATTTCTGAAATAATGTTTTGTAGATTTTAACAATAGAATGCAATAAACCACAGTTGCATGGAACCTCGTTCATCCAGTTCACAGAACGGGTATGGAAGCTTGGTACACCCTTGGATTAGTTTCACCGGTACTTGTTTCATGCTAAAAGGAGACGAAGCCCAACCAACTTCATCAAGACCCAAATGCTTTTGAAGAAAGTGGTTTTGTCAAATCATTCCAAAAGAGGAGACATCAAAACACAATGTAGTGCAATCATGAGTACATGATTTCTTGTAGTAGTTGTGAGGCACAAAAGATATCTTGAGATGGCTAAGGTTAAATAGTAAGTTGGAAGAAAAAGTTCACGATGAATTTAGTTATTTCTAAAATAATGTTTTGTAGATTTTAACAATAGAGTGCAATAAACCACAGTTGCATGGAACCCCGTTCATCCAGTTCACAGGACGGGTATGGAAGCATGGTACACCGCCCATTAGGAATTGGGTATGAGGTGGGTAGACTTATATGACACGCTAGGTATGTGGTACGCTTTAGGTTCAGTTTTTAAATGTAGGAATTAGAGGTTTTTCAAGAGTCAACTTTAAGAAATATGCTAGTTGATATAACTAATGGTAACACTTAAAAAAACTTGAGAATCATGTTGCAATGAGGTATGCATCCTTTATTTGCTTAAGTTCTCGCATTTCTTGTTATTTATTTTATTCTTTTAAAAAAGAGTTTGTTTTTTTCCAAAACTATAACTAGTATGAATTCTAAATTGGGTTGTGTTCCACGCGAATCTGGGACAATAACCTAGGTCATGATTCTCTATGGCGTCCCAAGTTCTCAACTTCTATGCAACAAACACAGAGAAAAATGATAGAAAACATGACGTAGATTGCTACTGAGGAAAGACGGAGTTAACGGGGATGAGTCCACCGTCTTGGTGGAGATATGAGACTTTTAGAAGAAGAATGATGTTTATCTACTTAATCACAAGCGGCTAATGTCTCCAAGCCATGATTGATCAACGCTTCAAATGTAAAGTTATGTGTGTTAGAATCATTTCATGCACACCCAAGTCTTGAATATGATCATTCATTTTTCTTTCCTTTTTGTTATTTTCTTTTATGAATCTTCCGTCAGTGTGTTGTGAAGGTCAGACATCAAAATGAAAAGACTTGT